GGTCAAACTGGCCAGTACTTTTCTACAGGATCACTGCTACATTTAAGAAGCATGTAAACACAGTTGGGGAAACACTTGTACACACTGATATTAAAATGACGCAGGATTGATATCATACATAATGTTGTTTTCCATTACATTTAAGAAATTTGAACTTTTAAGAAATGACAGAATATATATACATACGTACAACCTTTTTTTATCATGGCCTGATTGTACCAATATTTTATCACTATTTTTCCGAGATTTCAAAGACTTCATGCGTATCTAGGAAACCAGTTCTAATGGCTCATTTACTTAGCGGTTCCTTACTAGAGGTGGTTCCAATGTGCCCCAAGAAAAATGGGGAATATTTCAATTTTACGATTATTTCATTGACTAAAACTTAGCCCAATGAGAGAATGTATAAGAATGACTATTCTGTTAATAGGTTTAACACGTTTCACTGTCAATCAACAGTATTTAGACAGTTAATCTTATGAGACGGGGTCCTTGACGTCCTTACTTCAAAAGTAGAATTATATATAGTGAGGACTGCTATACAGTCTCCTCTTGGATTGCTGAGGTAACCTTAGCTACATTACACTTTCACATACTAACAGAAGAAATGATAAGCTCCACTTTGGCTGCTGAGCACATATACTGTATGGGAGCATACAGTATGAGATAATAGCCCAATTATTAATGATAATTATTAGCATTAATAATTAATTAATCAATCAATCAATCAATCAATCAATCAATCAATTCATTAGCTATGTACAGAGCTGGAAACTGACGCAGTAAGCTGAGTAGACTGTTGATCTACAGACACCTCCCCACTCTGTTGGTCTCTTTTTTTAACTAAAAGACAATCCACTCACTTTTTTTTTTAAATCTTTAAACGATACAGTGTAGACTTTCTTTCCATGCCGAATACACAGAAACCACATTGCACATTTAGCAGATAACAGACAAAAGTTTCTAGTTTGGCTCAATCAATAAGCCTGCTAACAGCTCTCATTATGATCTTTACTTTAAGGGTACAATTTGGACACAGGGAAGTCACATCTCATGTTCTATGGCCGCCATTACTGCAATAGGCTCTGGATCAAGCCCTACTGAGTTCTGATACAGTACAATAGGGGAATTTTAACATGCAGCAAGTTAGTAATAGTAATATATAAAAAACACAACCATTTGAATTAAAAGCCCCCACAAGGAACTTCCATTTTGAGTTGATTCTGGCAGCACTTGTGGAAAAAAGTGGTATTGTTTCCATCGCCTTTTTTCATTGATTTCAAGTGGAATCCAACCTGGTGTCAGGCATCAAGAATAGCTATATGGAAATAGTCCATCTCTCACTGATGGTCTTGTTTGTTTATATAGATCATATAGAGGCGTCAGTCTTAAATTGAGACTGTTTCATAACCAGTTAAAAACTTCTTGTAGTAGGTTTAACAAAACAGGCTAAAATTCGAAATGCGTCGATGTGGGATGTCATGAGAACCGATACTTTGTTACCAAGTTGATGCCAAACTTATGAAAACTTGAGTTGATTCTTCTTCTTGCCATAGGAAGAAGAAGAACATGTTTAAAACAGCAACAAGTGCAGCTATTCAGGTGTTTTACTCGCAGAGCTTTTGTGCACAGTGCTCTGTTGTCAACTCTCTCCGCTTACTCTCTCCACTCTGCTGTGTGTGTGTGT